TATTTCTATCTTTTCTATCTTACAGACATCAACATCATATATGATAACCATGATATCGCACAATGAAGCATTCACGATAGAGGTACTCATTTATTGATTAGTTTCCAGACTCCATACAAACCTGGCTTACCTAAAACTCTTGTTGTCTGTTTTAGATTGAACCGACGTATGCGTTTGGCTGGATTAAACCAAATATCGTCAAACTAAACCTCAAAGCACCAGGTATCTAATATAATCATCTACAACAGCACCTATAGACGCTCTTACTCGGGGTAATGCATGAAAACTCTATCGACAGTAGCAACATATGTCCTCTCTTGAATATATTCACAGCTCCTGATGTACAAGACGTGATTGTCCGTAACTTACAGCTCAACGGCTACACCTTTAACAAGCATGACCGTACATTTACTGTTAAGTTTACTTGGAACGCGCCCAAGTTTGCCGTATACAAAACAGTTGATCACTACGAGATCGCATTTCATCTTGTTGGTCCTCATGCACATCATGTTCATTGTCCATCGTTTGGGAATCGTCAATCATGCCCTGCAGTAGTAACGGTACGTAGACATTATTATTACTGTTGCTCTAGAAATTTGCTATTTCAGCTGCAAAAAGCTGTTATTGAACCACTTGCATCTGTGCGTTGACCATAAACAAGCGATGTTCTATGATATTCTGATCTTCTCTTTCAGAACTTGACAAGTTACCTGATACCGAAAGTCGCTCCTTCGCAGTACACCATCATAGCGGTACGTTCGGCTCTTCTGCTCTCCATACTGMCTAATTTAACCAGACAAATAAAGAGGGTTGATTTTTGGTCCGAAAAGTGCATTCTTGTGCTTGACTGACCATTAARTGGTTTTATTAAAATGGATCACTTTGGAGGCTCACCAGTCTGAACGTTTTTGTCCACAAATGCTGGACATATCGAAGTTTATAGAATACAAATGGAAAAATTCATTTTTCTCCTACAGGTAAAACCAGTTTTTAAGAATTCTTTTGTCGGAGGATTTAGCAAAGCAATATCAATTGAGCCTCTAGGTTAGTATGATATATAGTTCAAGGGCCGCCAGGAAGTTGTGTACGTCTCACAATGTACTCCGGGAAGAAGAGGGGGTGTAGTCAGAGGGTTACACTTGAATCTACACATAGCAACTTACATCTACATCTACGTTTATTAATCGACAACGCTTTCGCATCAAGTAATCTATAGAATAAGAGAAACACATTCCGAGATGCATACATTCATAATCAGATTTAAGAAATCTCGCACACATAACTGCTGGTTTCGTGAATGAGCTAGTATGCAAGATGCTTTAGCAATCCCCCCTCTCCCTCCCCCACAGATCCGAAAGAACAGTTTATTATGGTCTTCGGTCTTTTGACGAAAAGTGAATTAACGTTCGGACTTCGTGTGGTTTCAAGTGAGACATTTTGAAAGCAGCTTTTATGAAGTGTGATGGGCGACAGCGGGTATAGAGTTTAAATTCCCATACAGTTGACTCTCTTTGAACGACCACTCTCATAAAAGACCATAGGCGACCAATTTCCCGTTATAATTGCTTCCCATATAAACTCTGTAAAAAAACTCTCTCGTAAGCGACCATCTCTCGTAAGCGACCATCTGTCGTAAGCGAGCACTTTTTCCTGATCCCGAGGTGGTCGCTTACGAGAGAGTTGACTGTATTTACGAAAATTGCAATGTTTTTTTTACTATCGTGTCGCAGTATGACTTTCAATTTCTCTCTTTGTCAGAGTTCACATGTCAAGGCAAAAGGCCTGGGATCTACGAGGATCCTCTAGACTNGGTTTTATTCAACTTAAATAAGCCAAATTTTCTAACCTGGATTCAAACAAATAGCACTCGTATATTAAAACTTAAGAAGTGGAAAATATGGAACCGTTTTAAACAACCCTATTTATCCGCCACGACTAATTATTAAGGGAGGGAGGGAGTGGAGGGAGCAGGTGGTTTTGATTTTTAAATCATATTTAGTTTGAGCCTATCATTCATTAGTATCATTACATTTTTTTTCATTTCTTTTAAGAAGATCATTGCAATGAAGTTTAAAAGAGTTTAAAAATCGCGCGTTTTAAAGGTTGTGAATTTGATGCAATTATAAGTGTCTAAAATTCTGTAAATTTGATGTAAATGATTTCCATTAAATTTACAGAATTTTGGACACTTACATCATATTTATATCAAATTTACAACCTTTAAAGCGCACGATTATTGATTCAAGCTTTATTTCTATCTTTTCTATCTTACAGACATCAACATCATATATGATAACCATGATATCGCACAATGAAGCATTCACGATAGAGGTACTCATTTATTGATTAGTTTCCAGACTCCATACAAACCTGGCTTACCTAAAACTCTTGTTGTCTGTTTTAGATTGAACCGACGTATGCGTTTGGCTGGATTAAACCAAATATCGTCAAACTAAACCTCAAAGCACCAGGTATCTAATATAATCATCTACAACAGCACCTATAGACGCTCTTACTCGGGGTAATGCATGAAAACTCTATCGACAGTAGCAACATATGTCCTCTCTTGAATATATTCACAGCTCCTGATGTACAAGACGTCATTGTCCGTAACTTACAGCTCAACGGCTACACCTTTAACAAGCATGACCGTACATTTACTGTTAAGTTTACTTGGAACGCGCCCAAGTTTGCCGTATACAAAACTGTTGATCACTACGAGATCGCATTTCATCTTATTGGTCCTTATGCGCATCATGTACATTGTCCATCGTTTGGGAATCGTCAATCATGCCCTGCAGTAGTAACGGTACGTAGACATTATTATTACTGTTGCTCTAGAAATTTGCTATTTCAGCTGCAAAAAGCTGTTATTGAACCACTTGCATCTGTGCGTTGACCATAAACAAGCGATGTTCTATGATATTCTGATCTTCTCTTTCAGAACTTGACAAGTTACCTGATACCGAAAGTCGCTCCTTCGCAGTACACCATCATAGCGGTACGTTCGGCTCTTCTGCTCTCCATACTGACTAATTTAACCAGACAAATAAAGAGGGTTGATTTTTGGTCCGAAAAGTGCATTCTTGTGCTTGACTGACCATTAAGTGGTTTTATTAAAATGGATCACTTTGGAGGCTCACCAGTCTGAACGTTTTTGTCCACAAATGCTGGACATATCGAAGTTTATAGAATACAAATGGAAAAATTCATTTTTCTCCTACAGGTAAAACCAGTTTTTAAGAATTCGTTTGCTGGAGGATTTAGCAAAGCAATATCAATTGAGCCTCTAGGTTAGTATGATATATAGTTCAAGGGCCAGGAGGTAGTGTACGTCCCACAATGTACTCTGGGAAGAAGAGGGGGTGTAGTCAGGGGGTTACACTTGAATCTACACATAGCAGTAATCTATAGAATAAGAGAAACATATTCCGAGATGATATGCATACATTCATAATTAGATTGAAGAAATCTCGCACACATCACTGCAGGTTTCGCAAATGAGTTAGTATGCAAAATACTTTTGCAATCCCCCCTCCCCCTCCCCCACAGATCCGAACGAACAGTTTATTATGGTCTTCGGTCTTTTGACGAAAAGTGAATTAACGTTCGGACTTCGTACGGTTTTAAGTGAGACATTTTGAAAGCAGCTTTGTGAAGTGTGATGGGCGACAGCGGGTATAGAGTTTAAATTCCCATACAGTTGACTCTCTTTGAACGACCACTCTCATTAGCGACCATATCCCGTATGCGACCACCAATTTCCCGTTATAATTGCTTCCCATATAAACTCTGTATAAAAAACTCTCTCGTAAGCGACCATCTCTCGTAAGCGACCACTTTTTCCTGATCCCGAGGTGGTCGCTTACGAGAGAGTTGACTGTATTTACGAAAATTGCAATGTTTTTTTTACTATCGTGTCKCAGTATGACTTTCAATTTCTCTCTTTGTCAGAGTTCACATGTCAAGGCAAAAGGCCTGGGTTCTACGAGGATCCTCTAGACTGTACCGCCTATTATCATTGTGGACATCATGGACAAATCAATCACTTTCACTGTCAGGCGGGATTGTACTGGAATAGTACAATATTGGCATGTGATTGGATGAGAAATGGAAAATGCAAACATCACATTGGTAAGGCTGCATTTCCTGTGCGTGGAGGGGTCATCTCTCCAGGAAGTTGACTTACGTCTTTATTAAGCCCTTTTATTTCTTTATAAGTCTGAATTCCCTGGCTAAGTTTTAATGACGCAAATTAAGAAGGTGAAAGTCTAAAATTTAACAGGATTAAATCGAAAACAAAAAAACAGTAAAATGCTAAACAGTAGCGTATGGCCCAAACTTCACTTTCATTTTGCACAACAAGATGCTACTGAAGGACACTACTTTGAAAAAAACCCCAGTACTTTAGTCTTTTGATCTTATGAATGAAATTTCGAGAAATTGCTTCACTTAAATATATTCCTTATGC